GCAATACCGTTGCAAGTTCTTGAAGATGATTGAGACGTCGACGTTCAGGAAGAGTGGTTTCCGAGATGCAGCATATGCATGAGGCCAAGTGAGGCTGAGTGAGACTAAGTGGTTTTCGAGGTTTGCGTCAGCTGCCTATCTTGCGGCTTCGTTGCCGCGACGCAGAGAGATCCCTTGAAGGAGCTGGCGCTGAATGACCCTTCGGAGCGGAACTTAGATGAATGAAGCTTACTAGTAGCAATGGTCTCCAACCTGCTAGCGATGGCCTCCAAGCTACTAGCTTCTTGCTACAAGTAAAAACGTTTGTGAACTCCGAAAGAAACAGTGGACCAGGCTTGGATGGATTTGAGACAAATTTCTCAAATGTTTTGGCATAGCATGGCATCCTCGTTGCATTTTACAATTTCCAAGGTGCTACTGCTCCAGCAGCTTGGCTTCGCCGGGATTATGGTCTTCTATCTGGTGATGCTCGGGAACCTTGGCACGTAAGTTGAAGCCATTAGTTTGGTATCACATGGACCAGGGCAATGTTGCGGTAGCTTAAACATGGCTTCCAACCGCATAGAATCGTCTTGAATCCAAGAAAGTTGAGTCGATGATCCGAAAAACAACTAGGAACAAGAAGCTACTACGGGCTCCTGGCCTCGCTACTAGGAACAAGGACGCTACTAGGAGCAAAGGGCATTTCTACTAGGAGCAAGGAAGCTACTAGAGACGCTCCCGACCTTTGGTCTGGATGCATAGGATCTCCACTTGTGGAGCAGCCTGTGATGAGAACCTTCCGTTTTTTGTCATCGTGGCCAGGCAAGGGAAGGGCGAACGGTCGAAGGACAAGTCCGAATCAACCGGAAGATCTTCCGGATTTGCAGGACATGTTAGTCGCAATCACGTCAACCTTACTTTCAGAGATTCAGACACTGACAGAAGGGATGACAAAAGAACTGATGTCCAACACCCATGCCCAGCTTGCTCAAAGCAGCCCGAAGGCAAGCAGGTATCCCAAATGCCTTTGTCTAAACAACCTTTTTTTTGTGGCGGAAGGCCGCTAGAGGTAGGTAGTAGCGAGAGGTGGGTAGCTAGTAGGGAGAGGTGGCTAGTACCTACAAGTAGCTACTACTTAGGACGCAGGATAGCTCACGCTTCCTTGAAGAAGCGCTCGCACTATTCTTTTGGTTCCTAGAGTTTTAGGAAATCTTAAGGTTAAAAATGCCATTGTCTACTCCTGCTCCGTTTCATGCTGTCAGGCTGATTCAGAGTCACGGCTGCACCAGTCCAAACGATCCCTGCGCCAACAATGAATCGTTTCAGATGTTGGACAACAGGACACGTAAAACATACACAATACAGGCATGAAAGAGAGGAACAAAACAAAGAAGCCACGGACTGTTTCATAAGGCCCCAAAAGAGGGCTGCCAAAGTGGCTGCCAAAGTTGAGTTGTCCATTGGTAGCAGATGCAAGAGATGATAGAGATGGCAACAGGTGGACTGGTGCAGGAGATAAAGAGATTTCGGTTTGTGATCATTCCGGTGACATCCTCAGTCAGTGCCACTCAGGGTCTCCTTCTTGATCGTGTTTGCTCTCACCTACTACCGGCTGGTTTGGACCCCGACCATGTTGGATGAGATGCCGATGGTGGAGGAGTTATTCTCCAGGCGAAGCGCATGAATCTCTTCGGGTTCAGAAGCGGCATGCTTTGCGCACCAAATTAGGGCAGTTTCCTCAATTCCAACCTGCTAGCAATTGCCTCCACCCTAACAGCGATGGCCTCCAACCTAAGGGCTGTTTCCTCAATTCCCTCGTTGTTGCCAGCCTAGGGCTTAGAGGCAATACGGCTTCCCAACCTCAGAGTACCGTAAGAGGCCCAAGAATGGAAGCAGCCGCAACGTCTACCTCAAATGCCATGCCCAAATCTTTGAAGCATGAAACCCAAGCTAGACGCACTCTACACTGGGTGTAAGTGTCAAAGACAATCTCATAAAGAGCAGAAGCACAACACTCTGCATGAAGTTGTAGCATTTGATACTAAAACGGGTGGATTTAGATACCCCAACTGGTTGCAGTTGGTTGCCCAGGGACAAGACAGCAAGCGTGCTGCCTTACCTGTCGCTCGGCTCAGGGTTTGGAAACGTTTGCCAAGATGTATGTGTATTTTTTTGTCCGCGGCGGGGGATAGGCCGCTAGTAGCAAACAGTATGTAGTACCTTACTACTTATAGCTACTAGCTACTGGACGAAGAAGCGCTCACACTAATGATTTGGTTTCTCGATTTTTAGGCAAACTTAAGTTTTCTTGATGCTTGTTGCCAAGCTTCACATGAGCTCGTAGAACCTTTAGCCGGCAAATTTGACTTTCGAACTGGAAAATGCATTGTTGTGAGATTGCTTCACCAAGATGAGTTTGAGCATGTATAATGCTTTGTTTGGCGTGTAGCACCCAAAGTATCCCAAAGTAGATTCCTCACTGGAGGAGAGTGGTCCTGCATTTCAAACGTGTTGGTGTATGTTGCGAAAGAACAGCTCGCCGCTAAGCACCGTTCTCACCGTTTCCGAGCCTTTGGATTGACAGCTTCTCGACACTACAATGATAGAATCGCAATTAGAAACCAAGAAGAAGGAGGACACACGGTGGCCATCGCTATTAGGTTGGAGGCCGTAGTTCTTAGGTTGGAGGCCATCACTTCTAGTTTCCTTTTGCTAGTAGGTTGGAGGCCATTTTTCGCAGCTGGCTCAGGCTCACGATGGCGGGCTTTGGAGGAAACCTATGGTCGACTGCCCTAGATGCAAGAAGATCACATTCTTCACGTCAAACGCAATGGTTACATGGTCAATCATGGTCATGGCCAAGGTTGGAGGCCATTGCTTTTTGGTTAAGGATGTGCGTTGAGGCTGAGGCTTTTATTTCTTTGGCCTCTAGTCGGAGTAGCCGAGGTTGGAGTGGAGAGCAGGTGCCGCTGAAAAGGTGGTACCGGGCCTCAGGGAAACAAGTTTTCTCTTATTCTAGTAGCTTCTTGTTCCTAGTAGCGATGCCAGGAGCCCTTGCTCCTAGTAGTAAGACCAGGAGCCCCTAGTAGCTTCTTGTTCCTAGTAGCTTTTCATTGGAACATTAAGAACTCTTCTCATTCTTCTTGTTCCCAATTAGTATTTTGGTATTTTTTGATTATTATTTTGTTTAGACGTTTCCTTTCAAATGAACACATTGCTGCTGCGGCAAAGGCGGCACAGGAAGAAAAAGAGGTGAAGGATGCATAGCGATGCACAAGCCGCTGGGCACCTGGACAGGGTTTTGAGCTTCTATGGCTAACAGATGAGATATTGTATTTTTTTGCGCCTACTTAATTAAGGGAGGAACAATCAGCTACTAGGGGCGGCCTTACTACTAGGAGCAAGGACGCTCCTAGGGGCTCCTGGCATCGCAACAAGAAGCTACTAGGGGGTTCCTGGCCTTACTTCTAGGAGCAAGGACGCTACTAGGGGCTCCTGGCATCGCTACTAGGAACAAGAAGCTACTAGGTGGAGGCCATCGCTAGTAGGTTGGAGGCCATCGCTACTAGTAGCTAATTTGCTACTAGTAACAAGACTCAGGTAACTGTCTTCGATGGGTTTGATTCCTTGCCCCTTTCGGCATCTTGACATTTTTCTGATGTCCTTCCTTCCTTCCTTCCTTCCTTCCTTCCTTCCTTCCTTCCTTCCTGTTGAAGACTACTGTTCCATCGAACCCTTTTCTTGTACTTTCACCCCTTATTATTTCCATATGTACTGAACTGTATCTCCACTTTGCTGTGTCCAGGTTTCATTGAGCGCTCACTTGTTTTGGGTTTGGCAATTCTCCTTTTCCACGCTTCATGTCCGTCCACTCGCTGTGTCCTTTCTATTCTTGTTCATTAGGTAGTTTTCATTTTTCTTTTTTTTAATTGTCTTTGATTCCCTGGGTAAGCCGTGAAGATCGGGTGGAGGTAGCTGATAGTAACTTATAGTCGTAGCTCCCCGGCTAGTATCTACTATACGAAGAATCCATTTTGTTTTGACAGTTTTCCTACAACTTCCTAGACCTTTAGGGAAACGTAACTTTTAGACCAATCTACATGTACCAAGAGCGCGTATTTTCATCGCCCACACTGAGATCCACACAGGGACGGGTGGGGGAGAAACTGCTCCGGTCCGTCAACGTGAGCTTCATGGCAGTTAGGAAAGGCAGGAGACGTGACCAGAAAATTGCAAGTTTCGTCTTGTGAGAGATGCGCTTGGATACAATGAAGAAGTGTAGTAACTGCCACTCTAGTGACTTGTGCAATTCAAACAGCCTTCAGCAATAGAAGGTCGGAAGCCATCGCTATTAGGTTGGTTACATTTGGTCACGTTCCAAACATTGCCCTCTCGTGGGGCATCGGCAGCGACGGTGGTCGACAAAGCCCGATTGCCATGGCCAGGATCAAAGATATGACATTGCTTTTACTCGCTAGGGGCTCCTGGCCTTGCTACTAGGAGTAAGAAGCTACTAGGGGCTCCTGGCCTGGAAGGGGCCATGTCTAAAACGTTGTCTTCTCGAACTATCAGTTTGATCCTGGTCTATTTGCATAGCACTAACACAAAGATTGCCCGTTTCATTGTTCCATCGTTGTTTCGGAGAAATAGGTTGCGTTGTGCTCAGGAGCAGCATCAGTTGCTTGTCATTCTTTCTTGCTGATGGTCCACCAATCCCTTTTTATTTATTTGTTTTGTGAGTTCAGTCTGTAAGGTACAGATGATTACAGATGATATAGTTTATAGATGTTTATAGTCTGTTTCATGGTCTCGACTTTTAGCAAGAATTCTTCCAGATTCCAACTCCAACGGACAAGGTTTAAGAAAGGATGTTGGAGGTCGCATGGCAGCATTGGGTTTCACTGAGACAAGATAGAAAGCCTCTTTCTTCGGCATGCTTTTTCATGAACTACTTCTTAATGCTTCTCACTTTCTTTCATGTTATTTCACTGTTCAGACTCGAGTGAAGCTTTTGCCAGGACGTCGAGCCGCTTTGGACCTCAGCTGCAGCTGTGGCAGAGGAGGGTTCACAGGCGGAGATTGTCAACTAGCTCATTTTGTATAACTCTTCATTTCGCACCAAGTGCCTGATGTTCTTGGTGGATGCCAAGATACCCCTGGCCTTACAATTTGTAATTCTTCGATGTCCTTTGAACTCGACATTTCTTGATCCAAGTGGTTTTGCTGCTCTTTGGCTTTGCGAGGCGGTGGTGAAGTATGACGACTTGGTCCTAGGTGTGGATGTATTGCATCAAGAAAAAGATGAAACAACTCACGCAACAAAGACATACACAAAAGAAAACCGAAAAGAAAACGATCCAAAGGTCAGAAGAAAAAAGACCACGAAAAGATGAAACGACCAAAAGAACACGAAAGGCATGGCTTGTGCATGTGCATGTTTGTGTGTCATCAGCCTGGAAAGATGAAGAAGCAGTCCACCGGGTCATGGAAGAGATACCTTTCTTTGCCTTTCCATGCTTATTAATTACCTTTCCTTATTGTAAGGCTGTGGTTTCGACTTGTTTAATGTTTCCAAATTGTTGTTTTGGTGCTTGTGCAGGGCTCGGCCGCTGGGGCAGCAGCGGCCTTCGCAACGACCTGCCGCCACAGTGGCGCTGCCCAGACCTGGTTCTGTAAAAAGGATATTCTTTTGTTGGAGGCCATTGATATTAGAAGCAAGGGCGCTACTAAGAGCAAGGACGCTACTAGGGGCTCCTGGCATCGCTACTAGGGCAAGGACGCTATTAGGTTGGAGGCCATTGCTACTAGGTTGGAGACCATCTATTCTTTGATACACCACGGCCCGTGACGGCCGGTTCCGGCCTTCAAAAAGTGATCAAAGTAGTTTTTGAGTCCTTCGACTGTGTCACCCGTGCCACTTTCGTCACCGCAAAGCTGCTCAAAAAGTTATCCCAACACAGTTTAACAAGTTTACACACAAGGCCACAAGGCTGTCTAGGTCTAGGCATCCAATGTATCCAGCTGAGTTTCAGTCTTGAGCATTTTGGGAGTGACTTGGTGATGGGTAGTTGAGACAAAGTTGACCAAATTCGTTCGATCGTTGGTCACGTTCAATCCATTTCGGTAAGGACGCTACTAGGGGCTCCTGGCCTTACTACTAGGAGCAAGAAGCTACTAGGAAGAAAGGGCATCGCTACTAAGAGCAAGGACGCTGTTAGGTTGGAGGCCATAGCTAGTAGGTTGGACTTTGTTCCTTTGTGAAGCAATGGTCAATGCCATCTACAGCTCGAGGGAGGCCGGCTTTTAGCCGAAGGTGGTTGCTTCGGCTTTGGCCTGGCATTTTGGAAGCAAACAGAGAACTCTGAAGAAAAGACAAAGGAAGAAAGAACACTCATGAAAGGTGAAAAGCTTCATTTCTCTGGGAACCGTTTCACATGAAGGGCTTGCGCAGGGCTTCAAAGCCTCTCACTCCTCATTTTCTTGCGCTTCACCCCCCACGACTCCTACCGCCAGGGCCAGAGCTTTCTGGAGACGGAGAGTCAGGAGCAATCACACTGCGTTAGGTGTACGGTCAGGAGCCCCTAGTAGCTTCTTGTTACTAGTAGTAAGGCACTTGTTACTAGTAGCGATGCACTTGTTACTAGTAGCGTTCTTTGTTACTTGTAGCGAACATTGCTCCTAGTAAGGCCAGAAGCTACTAGTAGCATTCTTGCTCCTAGTAGCGATGCCCTTTGTTACTAGAATAGATGCATCACATCTATCACGGAATCTGAGTCATTAGAGATAGCTCAGGCATGCGACCCGATAGCAGGTAGAATTGTCCGAGCAACTCACCAACTTGATTGGAAACCTTTTAGTCACACCTCGAGTGCAGGATGAATAGGGAAGCCAATGTTGGCACTGTGATACCCAAGTTTCCCTAAACATTTGGGAACCATATGATTAGCCTGCGTCCATACCAGTACCCTTTATAAGTAGCTATAGGAGTGTTTTCCCTTACTTACATAACCAAGTAGGCACCTACTTAATGAAGGGGAGGCTAAAAGAAAATACACACGGAATCATAGGGAAAAGGTCCTAGTAGATTCCTTTGCTAGTAATTATAATTATAAATAATTTCTTGTTCCTACTAGTAAGGCACTTGTTACTAGTAGCCTGGCACCTGTTTCTAGTAGCGTGGCACCTGTTTGTAGCTCGGATTTGTCGACCTCGGACCGCTTCTGCGTTCCACTCGTTCTTCTCCGATGTGGGCCCAAGCAAGGCCCTCTCCGTGTTGGATGCCGATGCCTCACCTTGCAGCTTTGAGGCAGCGAAGCGTGCCAAGGCGGTTTGGATTTGATTAAAGCTCCAAAGCGCTTGAAACGAAAAATCTGAACTAGGAGCAAGGACGCTACTAGGTTGGAGGCCGCTAGTAAGTCTCAGCGGCAGGGGCTGGGCTTCGCGAGTGCTGTTAGCGGCACCCTGGTCTTGACGAACACCGTGCTGGGCGGCTCCGGGCTGCTGGGAATGCCGGCGGCAGTGGCCAAAGCAGGCGTTGGAAAACGCAAAAGGCATCGATTCAAACTGAAAGCGATCTTGGACGCTACTAGGAGCAAGGACGCTACTAGGGGCTCCTGGCCTTACTACTTGGAGCAAGAAGCTACTAGGAACAAAGTGCATCGCTACTAGGAGCAAGGACGCTACTAGGAGCAAGAGCATGCTTCGACAACGTTTCAACACTTTGTTTCCAGTAATGTGGGAACGGAGCACAAGGATGGGACTATGCGGGTTAATGAAAATAGTCTTGAAGGGTCAGCTCGGGTAGAACTGCAATCAGATCAAAGTGGAACCGAGTGTGACAATTGGAATATGCTGGCAGTAATGACAATAGTTTCCACAGAATTGGATTATGCTTACGTACTTACACGTGCATATATGTATATAATCATATATCACACAACAGGATGGATTGGGCAATCTTTTCAATTCACCTGAGGCTACGCCTTCGGTCTTTTGCTCATGGTGACTTGCCCAAAGACAGCGACCCATCCTGTCGAAGGGGTGATTTACAACAGTTTTTGAACCTACAGAACATTGCATGCATATATGTATGTATGTATGTATGTATGTATGTTTTTTTTTTTCTCCTGAAGTTGGATGCACGAAGGCTCAGTGGCCGGTTCAGCATGGCACGGATGGCCTCAGATACCTTGCCGTAGCTCAGAAGAAATCGACCTGGATCTCGGGGTCACAGGTGCGGTCTGCTTCTTCTTCGGCTTCCTCATTGCTGCCCATCTCTGCATCTTCAGGTGGTGGAGATGCTGTGAATTTGAGCTTCTTGGGCACCGGTGGAGACAGAGTTTCCGGTCCTTGTGGTGCATTGGCTAGAGGCTCAGGCTGTGGCTGGGTATCATGGCCCGTGTGTTGGCCTGCGTCGCCCGGTGTGTGGGCGGTAGCAGAGCTGTGTGTGGCCTCAGGGGCCGAGTGTTCCGCCTGGCTGGGAGGGCTGGCCTGGCTGAAAAATTGCGCCAGAGTGGGTGAGGTCGGCTTGTGACCCTTGCACTCTTTTTGGAGCCCCTTCGTGAGAATCAGGCGGTCGTGAGCATCAAGGTGAGTGTGCAACCCACACCCTTTGCATTGGATGCCTTTTCCAATCTGCCACAATGTGTGTGTCCCATGGGCGGAATGCTCACGGTTGAAGGGAGCATCAATGCAGGTGCTGTTCAGGAATTGGTTGAACAGGTCTTCATTGGCCCTTTTGTGGATGGCTTGGCTGCATTTGGTGCACTTCAAATACCCAGTCGTCTCCTGTAGATGGTGAACATCAGGAGTGGTTGGATGTTCTTGCTGGATCTGAAGCAGGGATGCAATGCGGCTGGCTCTGGTGAGTTTCTTTCCCACTGCCCGCTCAGGTGGGAGGTCAGGTTCCGGGGCGATTGCTGTGAGTGGTGCACAATCTTCTTGAAGCCTTTCTTCGATCATGGAAGCAGCGAGGCCCTGGTGCACCCTCGTTTGGCAGGTGTGGCACTGGTAGCCGCTGCGGTGGGCCTTCCATTGATGTTTGCTCGGTTGCCAGGGTTGCTGGCATTGTGCGATGAGGTTCTTTTTCCGCTGCTTTGTTTTGTGGCCGACTGCGCGGCCTGGCTTTGTGTGCAAGTAGTGATCCTTATCGTCATAGATTTTGGCCAGACGTGCAGCCGCATGCTTGTAGATCTCGAGGTGGTCTTGGTCGAGGATGCTCTGCCAGGCTTCTTTGTCTGGACTGTGGATGCTGCTGGCTCGTTCCCATGCCGCTAGGGCTGCATCCCGTTGTCTTTGTCGTAGGTGTGGTTCGTTTCCTGGAGCATCGGGGGTCTTGTGGTTTTTGTGGATGTATAGGGGCGTGATCAGAGTGAAGTACTCTGCCGGTTGCCCCTGGACCAGGTCGTGGAAACCTTTCCTCTTGGCTGGGTTGGTCCAGGCTTCCCAGGCCGAGCTGACCTGGACTATCACCCGGGTTGGCGTCTGGATGAACTGTGCCAGGGTGAGGAGCCCTTGAAAGATGGCTCTGGCCTTTGACTGGGGCCCTCTCGCCATGCCCGTGATGGTCCCTTTCCGTTGAAGGGCTCCAAGCGAATAGCCGTGGATGCAGAGTGCAAAGATCCAGGCTTGGGATCTCTTGTCGCCGGAGGTGGGCGTGGCATCAACAGTGACTGAGAGCCCTTGCCACGGTTGTAGTGGAAGAGGTTCGAGGGACTGCCAACAGCCATGCCCTTCCAGTGCAAGAGGTCGTTGGAGGTGGTCTTGTGGCTCCTTAGGGATCCAGCCGTAGGCCCAGAGTGGTTCCTCCAATGGATCTTGTAGCCGCTCGGTCCAAGGCACTGGGAGAGGCTGGTGCTTCTGGTTGTGATGCCACTTGCATAGCCACACTATGTGTTTGGGCGTTGCTGGGACCTGGCAGAGGGGACACTGCTGGGTGGTGGTGTCGGCTTTGAAACGGATGGCCGCTTGGTTCCAGGTGCGGATGTGGTTGACCTGGGCCTTGCTGATGTGCTTGGTGATTTTTGAAGCCGTGGTCCAGTCGATGCCGCTAACGAGACCTTGGCAGTTCCTTTTGTTGGCAAAACGATGTGGCCTCGGCTTGGAGCTGCTCTTCAACCTGCCACCAGGGTTGGCGAAGATCGATGTGGGCTTCGGTCATGAAGGCCGTCTCGTGCCTGTGCCAGTCATAAAGGCTGTCTGTGTGCCACCCCCATTCTTTGAGATATGCCAGTGTGGCGGCCATTGGTCCCTTGACATGGTACCAAGGATATTGTTGTTGGCGGAGCTGGTTCTGGAGTTCCAACCATGCCCGTTCGACATGTGGAAGGTGGTCGCTGGGCCAGTGAGCGATGAGGGCATGGATGGCCTGGACATGTTGGATGACCACTTGGTCGGCAGGATCCAGGTACTTGGTTTGGTTTTGGTCGTAGATGACATCCGTGAGTCCGCCCGTGGAGGCCCAAATGAGTGGCAAGTGCTTGTCTAAGGGCTTGTCTATAGCGAGGAGCTAGCCCTTGTCCTTCGACACCCCACAAAGCAACCGGTTGGATGCCTCCGCGATGGAGCCGGAGTCGGGTGCGGAGATTGGGGAGCCTCAAGGTGCGCAGTTTGATGCGCCGCTGCTTGTTCTTCTTGAACCTATTCTGCAAAGTGGTGATGCGGCGTCTGCGACCGGCTTGGTGATCAATCCCGAGATCTCGCATCACTGACTGGATGGGTGGATCGTCGGGGCCAAGGAGTTTGGCCAGTGCCCTGTGGGTGGCTCTGTCTGTGGCAATGAAAGCCGTTTTGTTGTTGTTGACCTTGAGGCCGGATGCCAGGAGTTGTGTGCGGAGCTCACGCCAGGCCTGGACAATGCGGTTGGCTAGGGTGTCTGGATTGGGATGGCTGCTATCAAATCCAATGTCATCGACCCATCCGTTGAGGTGCAACTCTGGATGTTTGGCCTGAAAAGGGCTGAGGATTGGTTGAAGAAAGGCTTTTGCCAGCAGCGGAGCTTGTGGGCAGCCTGCAGCAACCCCATGGGTGACATGGAACCAGTGGCTGAGCTCGGAGTCTGCCATCACTGCTTTGGGTCCTGTGTAGACTTGCATCGCGAACTCCAGTGCTAGTGGAGGGTAGTCCAGTGCTTGGGCTACGGACTGGAGCGTCTTGAGGTCGATGGTGTCGTAAAAGGTGCTCATGTCCAGAAGGACAGTGATGCCATGTTGCGCTAAGGTCTTGGTGCTTTCCTGGCGTAGGAGCCTCTCGAGTGCAACATGGAGTGCCGTTGCACCGGGGCGTGCGCGGTCGTAGTTCATAGAGTGTGGCAGATTGAGTTGCCAGCTGTCGAGAATGTTCTTGCGGAGCCGGCACCAAGTCCGGTAGAGGACGCTGGTGAGGGTGATAGGTCGCTCGACCTTTTCGTTTTTGGCCAACATCACGACCAGGCTCATCTGGAGTTGGGTCGGTAAGGTGGCTGTAGTCTCCATGTCCTGAAGGATCTGGAGCAGGTTTGGCAAAGCTTGAGGTGGTGTGTTCCTCAGAAGCTGTGTGCTGATGGCATCGGGACCACATGCTCGGTCGGGCAGTTGTTTGAGCACTCGGGCAAGGTGGCCAATCGTGAGTGCCGGTAGTTGAGTAGCTTGATGTTGGGCGCTGGCCTGTAGAGAGTCCTGGACCAAGGGCTGGTTGTCCTGAGTAGGCTGCCAGAGTTGGTGCCAGTCGTGGAGCCGGTGCCTCATCCGATCGGCCATGGGGACATTGCGGTAAGGCCGTTGCCAAGCTAGTTCACTGGCTTGAGGTTCCTGAAAAGTCCTCGAAGGCCTTTGGCTTCTCCTTGACGGATCCAGGCAGCGTACTGGAGTTGGCCCTCTGTCCTGGATTGCTCAAGTGCCTGGTTGAGCTGGTGCTGGATGGTGTGCTGCATAAGCTCAAGTGTACGCGGATCCTGGTGTTTGCCCCAGTGGTGTGTCGTGTCCAGAAATTGGGCCCACGCTGGTTCTCCGACCCAGTGCTTAGGTGCTGATTCCGTGGCTTTGAGAAAACCTCGGATGTTGCCATGGGAAGGTTGGTCCTGGTGCTGGATATGGTTCAGACGGACCTGGAGTTGTTCCCAATAAGCTGGCTTCCCTTTCTTCCAAATTGGGCCTGCTTTGGGCGACGTGAGTGGTTTGTACTCTGCTTGGAGGTTGGAGGCGCGCCCTTGTGGGGCCCAGGGATGCTGTTGGAGAAGATATTGTTCAGTGATTGAGACCCAGTCAGCAAGGGACTTGGCGGCCTGATTGGGCATGGTGTCGTATAGCAGGACCCTCCTCGACTTGTGTGACATAGGTGGTCCAAGGACGAAAGCCTGGAGTTGGCCGGTCAGGAAGCGCTGGGAACGTGCGCAGCTGATTGTAGTTCCTGAAGTCATCTGGCAGTTCCAAAGCATATGTGACTAAGCAGTGTGGTCTCCAGGGGACTGCCCAATCAGTAGTCATGGAAGTGAGCGGGGCAAGCTGGTTGTGGACCAAGGCATAGTCCAGAACATTGCCATTGAGAAGAGTCGCATCTGGTGCTAAGATCTGCCAGTGGAATTTGGAGCCAAGAACGGTCCCTTGGAATTGGCTGGGGTGGCTGTTCCAGTCTCCCAAGAGGATGTACTGTCTATTGGAGGCTTCAACCAATGCCAAAAGCCGTCCCAACAGGTGGGAGTTGGTTGGTCCTTGGATGGTCTCATTGGTCTTGAAGTAGACCGCAATGACAAGGATGGACCTGGCCTTGGCTTCCCATAGGAAGGCTTGGTAGCCACATCCGTCGATGTGGAAGTGCTCCAGCTGAGTGACTCCATGGTGATTGGAGTGGAGGATGAGGATGCCGCCAATGGTTGCCTTCATTGGTGCTGTTGGTGTGGGCCGGCAACCCGAAGGCATGTTTGCCTCTGACTTCGAAATACTGACACATCGTGTTGTGTTTCTGCTTGTCGAGATGTGTCTCCACCAGGATGTGGATGTCATTGTCTCGGCTCCATAGCCAGTCAAGAGTGTGCCGGCCGAAGGTGGTGATGTTAGCCACGTGGAGCTTCATGCTATCTTGGGTGTGTCTTGCCTTCTTGGGCGGTGTGCCGTGCAGCGGTGGGTCGTAGTCTGGAGTCTCAGGCTCAGGCATGGCCCGCTGGATTTGTCTCGGTGTGACAAAGGCGGTGGTCTCTACAGCCCAAATCTGCACTATTTGGCCTGCGAGTTGGGGCGTCAAGAAAGGGAGCACTGTTGGATGGCCGCCGTCATCAGCAATCCACATCAAGTCTCTGTAGACCAGGATGGTGAAGTAGTGGCCGCTGTCATGGGTGGGTCCTCTATGGCAGATGTAGGCTATGGGGATGTACTCTGCACTGGCTCTGGAGAACCCGTCCAAGGATCTGGGAACGGTAAAGGTGCCATGCGGGTTGAGCGCTCGTTTGTGCTTGGTCAGGACTCCATCGTAGGTGACGGCCCGATTGATGTGGGCCACCAAGACAGTTTTGTCGTCGCCCAGGAATTGTCCCAGTCCTTGATTGGCCCAGTTGTTCATCAGCTCCTGCCAAGTGATTTCATCCAGGAATTCATCTGGGTAGTCCACAATGAGCGGAAGCTGGACATGGTCAGCTAGGTAGCCGTGTTCTTTGATCTCAGAGTATCTGTACTGCATCACTCGGGTCTGGGATTTGATCCAGAGCGTGTTGACAAAGTGTGCTGCGTCACCCTCGAGATTCAAATCATGCTGTTTCCAGAGATCCTCGAGGCCGGGTAAGGCCTTGATGTCAATGGCCTCAGTGAGCTCCAGGGAGGTTTGTACTGCCTCTTTGACTGTGCCCCAGGGTTCCAGGTTGAATTCGGCCAGATAGGCACACATCCAACAAAAAGCTCTCCATGGGGCGTTGGCATAGCACCTGGTGCTCGGGTTGCCGATGATCATCGTCAGGTTTTGGAGGATGAGATCAGTGGTTGAGGCATATTCATGGTGGCTCATGTCCTTAGTTCCACAGCCCGCGGAGGTGGTGGTCTCCAAAGAGCTGGAGTAGGTGCCGCCGGTCAGGTTCACAAAAGGCTGGCCATTGCCGCTATGGAAGGCCGTGTCAAAATTGTAACCAGTAAACGTGTCTGGTGCTGTCTTGGGATCACATCCCATGTTGTTGTGGTTTGATTGCTGTTCCCCCGCAATCAGGGTCCCCAAAACGGGAGGTGCAAAAGGGCTCCAAGTTGAATTGTCCCCATCAAATTGGAGGCTCCTGTGTAGTTGTCGTGACTTCGGAGTGAAAGATTCGTTTGATCTGATGTCCGTTGTCTGTGCAACTGCCATTTCCCCTGTTGAGCCGAGGCCTGCGCGGCAAACCGGTGTTGATGGTGTTGCCATGCTCGGAGGCTCAAAGTCTTGCATAGTTTCGTCTGGTTCCTGGTATTCCCCATGTGAATTTCCTGTCCCATCCCATGACCATGAGTCATCATCTGGCAACGGAAAATTCAGTCCCGATGTGGCTCCATGTGCAGGAGGGTTACCCACAGTGTCCTGGGGCAAGTGGCGCAGGGCCATCAGTTTTGCGCCTCTTGGTCGGATCCTCAGTGTCAGATCCTGAGCGCTTAAGCAGACCGTGGAGTTGAGTCTTTTGCTCTTCGGTCAAGGCGATCCCAAGGTTGTGTACAAAAGATTCCACAGCCATGGGTATTTGTTCTGGCTCTGGCAAAGTGCCTGTTAACTCGGCAGGTGTGGGTGTCTGGTTCACCGCTTTCATGTAGTCTTGTGAGAGCTGCTGCAAGGCTTTTTGTCCTTCTGCAAGCTTCCCTTGGAGGGTTTGCATGTCTGCCAGCAAGGTGGTGTATTGAGCTTTCACACCGTCGATCTTGTCCTGAAGCTGGCTTTTCCTGATTGACAGGGTTTTCAGCTCCGTGACTTGGCCCTTGAGCTTCATGGCTATGTCTTTCTCGGTGCAGGGTTCAGGTGCCGTGAGCTTCTGCACCTGAGTGGGGAGGGACTCCATGTGCGACTTGAGGATGTCTGTGAGCTCTGGCTCTTCTGGCTTGGCGGGGCCAATGCCAAGGGCTTGAAGGCGGTTCTGTGTTTCGGCAGGCAGGGTGGTCCAGCTGGTGGCCAGGAGGTGTGTGGCTTCTTGTTGTTGCACCCGTGATTTCTTCAAGGGTTTGACACGTCCCAGTCCTGGAGGTGTCTCCAACCATGGTTGCTTTGCCTTGGAGGTAGGTCGCCCAGAGCCCTTGCCCTTGCCGGCTCCTCCAGTGGCGGCTGGCCACCAATTGCCGCAGCGTCTGCACTTGGTGTTGGGTTTGACCCTGTCAGTCCAAATCCAATTGGTGCAGTCGTGTCGTGAGCAAGTCATGTAAGCTCTGCCCCATTGTGGTGTCATTGTCCCTGATCAGGAGCAGGTGTCCGGTTCGGATGAGGTCAAACAGAAAGGCAAACTGGGCGGCACCGATCGAGATCTGGCCAAAGTGAACCTGAAGGTTGTAGACCAGTCACCAGGTGGAGCCCTCAGAAATAGCCAGGCGAGAACTGCCGGACACCAAAGGTCTTGTCAGGGGTGGCCAAGGAGAAGACGGATATAACGAGCAAAGAATGTGTGGTAGGTCGAGAAGTCGAGGCTCGAGGTCCGGTGAAAGTCTTTGCTATGTTCGAGTGGGGATATCCGCACTTGCAGGACTTTATGGGAAGCCTGCTTGATCTCAAATGGCCTTGAGCCATGTATGTATGTATGTATGTATGTATAGCCAATAAAGGTTCTGACTGTTCTGAGGTTTTGTTTGCATCTTGCTCAGCTTTTGGCTGCCACCTCCTTCAGTGCTCTGCACGGAGGCCGTTGGGCTGGTTGGGCCGTTACTTTGTCTAGTAACAAGGACGCTACTAAGAACAAATTGCATCGCTACTAGGAGCAAGGA